AAGTGCAGTCCTTTTGAGGAATGGTCAGAGTTCTCATGATTGTGTGATGGGAAGTCCTAGGGACTCAGTAAACTGGCCAGAAGCAACATTGGGGATCCAGGAAGGCTCTAAGGAGGATAACACGTACAGAAGCAGGAGGTAGTGACATCTAACAGACAGGAAAAGGAAGGAGATGGGGGAAAACAGAAGAATGATCTGAATTCTCCAGTCATCTGCCAAATATTTACTGAACTCGAGAGAAGATAGTGTGGACCAGTATCTTTCAGATTTCGAGGCTTCTCCTTAGCTCCATCCATCTGCTTTCAGAAGCAGGCAGCACCAAGGTTCAAGGATTTCCATGAGAATCCTGTCTAGTGATGGGGACAGGCTGTCTTGTATACATTTACCCAGGAACAACAGTCAAAGCAAGGATCTCATCAGCTTAAGGGAAGGGAATGACCCCCATCATTGCTTCTTCTCGGGTCTTGCTGGACAGCTGCTATGTGCCTGGCACATGGTGCATGCCAAGATTCCTGGACTTTGGAAGATAAAGGGAGGCGAAGGTAGAAGTCATAGCCCATACAGCAGCACCATCCAACAGAACTTTTTGCAGAACTTTCTATATGTGCACTGACCAGTACAGTAGCCACTCACCACATGTGGTTACTAGGCACTTAAAGCGTGGCTCATGCCACTGAGGAACAGAATGTTCAATTTTATTTATTTATTTATTTTGTTTTGCAGGGTTTTGTTTGTTTGTTTTTTGGCCAGGGCCCAGTTTGAACCTACCACCTCCAGTATATGGGGCTGGCGCCCTACTCCTTTGAGCCACAGGCGCAGCTCAGAATGTTCAATTTTATTTAACTTTAATTAGAGTCTAAATTTAGATAGTCATATTCAACAAGTGACTACTGAATTGGACAGTATAACTCTTATGTCTTGTCTTGGGTTTATTAACTCACTCTCTCTAGATTAAAAAAAAACCTTTTATTTGTTTTTTTGATTGTTTTGTTTTGTTTGAGACAAAGTCTCACCCTGTGGCCCTGAGTAGAGTGCCATGAGCTCAAGTGATCTTCTTGCCTCAGCCTCCCAAGTAGCTGGGACTACAGGCGCCCACAAAGCCTGGCTAATTTTTCTATTTTTAGTAGAGATGGGGTTTCACTCTTGCTCAGGCTGGTAAACTCCTGAGCTCAAGCAATCCATTCACCTCAGCCTTCCAGAGTGCTAGGATTATAGGCATGAGCCACTGTGCCTGTCCTAAAAATAACTTTTAAATTAAGGTGCAATTTACATAGACTAAAATTGTATCTTTTTAGTGCACAGTTCTGCTACTTTTGTCAAATATGTATAGTTGTATAGTTGCCAGTTCAATCATTGTTCCCTTCTTCCCCAAATAATTCCCATATGTCACCTTGCAGTTAACCTCTCCCTGGACCTCCAGCCCCTGGCAACCACCCATCTGTATTTTGCTTTTTCCTAGAATGTCACCTAAATGAAATCATGTATAATACACTTGAGATTCACCCATGTGTAGCGGCAATTACATCCTTTTTATTGCTACAAAGTATTCTATTGTATGACTGTACAAAACCACAGTTCGTTTATCCATTCCCTAGTTGAGGTACATTTGGGGTGTAAAGTTGTTTCCAGTTTGGGGTGATTATTAATAAAGCCACTATAATATTTCTGTACAAGTTTTCGTGTCAATGTAAGTTTTTGTTTCACTTGGGTAAATAACTAGCAATGGGACTGGTGGTCCTATATTAAGTGTAGTTTAACTTTACAGAAGCTGCCACCCTGTTTTTCAAAGTGGCAGTACGATTTTGCATGGCATTAACAAAGTATGAAAGTTCCTATGGCTCTGAATTCTCACCAATGGTTGATATTGTTAGCTTTGACTTTTAAGGGATGTTGTGAATAGGTATGTTATCCTATTGTGGTTTTAACTCACTTTCTAATAATGACACTGAGCATCTTTTCATATGCTTCCCTGTCATTCATATATCTTTTTTGATTAAGCACCTGTTCACATATTTTGCCGACTTTTTAAAATGGATTATTTCCCTAGAAACTTTATTGCCTCTTTAGCAACAAAATTAAATACATTGCCTCTTTAACACAGCTTTAAACATTACCTCCAACCCAGCTAGTCATCTCGTGGATGGTGAAGTACATTGGAGTTAGTTCTGTTCCTTTTTGTTTCTGCTACCAGCTCTCGGGCTTCTGTCAAGGTGAGAGCCTAAGGGACTCCAAAAGGTTGACTAGGTTCTCCTGGGAAGGCTTTTGTCTTTCTTTTTTGGAGTGAATTTTTTGTGGGACAGCTTTGGCATGCCCTCAAGCTCTAGAGGCAATGAGAGAAGAATTCAGTTTCTCATATCTGGGTTGTTGAATGCTTTTCCTAGTGGCCCTTTTATTTAACCTTCTCTGTGGAAGCCATCAAGATAGCAATACAGCAAATTACAAATGATTAAATATGTGCCTAGACTTGCCAAGGTCACGGTGAGTCAGCCCACTGAGCTCCTTGCATTAGCAGGGTACAGTTCTTGTTCCTCGGGAAAAGACTCATCTATGTTTGTTGGTTTTTGCACAATTTTTCATGTTGAACATTAAGTTAGGCCTGAGGTGCTTGGAAGTACATACAAAATGCCTCTTGTCATCAAACCTCTCATTAAAAGGTGAAAAGTCACCTCAAATGAGTCAGAAGGAAGAACCCTGGAGGTTCAATGTAAATCAATCTCTTTTTAAAATTGTGGTAAAGTACACATAACATAAAATTTAGCATCTGAACTATTCTTAGGTCTGCAGTTCAGTGACATGAAGCTTGTTCACACTGTTGTGCAGCCATCACCACGGTTCACCTCCAGAATGTCTTCATCTTCCGAAACTGGAACTCGCTCCCTTTGCCCTCTCTCCCAGCCCCTGGAACCCTTCCTTCTACTTTCTGTCTCCAAGAATTTGACTGCTCTAGGGACTGACTCCTCAGAAGTGGAATCGCAGTGTTTGTCTTACTGTGTCTGGGTTACTTCACTAGACAATGTCCTAAAGGTTCGTCCATGGTGCAGCAGGTGTCAGAATGTTCTTCCTTTTAAGGTTGAATCATACTCCATTTTATGTATGTACCACAAGTGTGGACACACACTTGGCTTGCTTCCACCTTCCTGCTATTGTTAATAATACTGCTATGAATATGGTATGCATAAATATCTCTTTTAGACCCTGCTTTCAATTCTTTTGGGTGTACACCTATACCATTTATGCTACCCCACCTTACATTTCTCTCAACTCTCTATAAGCAGTGGGCATTTCTTGAATCTCTCCGCTTCTCTGCACTTCCCCCTTGAATCCCCTTTGCTGCATTTCCTAGCTTTCTAATGGGCCTCCCACAATCACTCTGGCTGCTCTTAGGGTCAGGCTCTGCGCAAGGCCAGAGTGAGTTTCAGATACTGCGTTGGGTGTGCATGTTGTCTACTGCCTAAATCCCCCCAGGGGCTTTCCGTTGCTGTAGGGATCAGACCTAGATCTTTATGTGAACCACTTTGGCCCCTGCCTCCTCTTTAGTCTAACCTGGTTCAGCAACTGTGGCTACTCGGCTCCACCCACAGTGGCCGTCTATCTTTTACACCCCCTCCAAGCCCGGCTTCCTTCTCCAGCTCCAGTGACCCCTACGGAAACACTGCCCCCACATTCCCAAGCCCCACCTTTGGAGCGCAGGGAGGGGACCCATGGACATCTTGTTACAGTTTCTCATAAAAAGGTGTTCCAAACACTTACCTTCCGTTTGTATCCACGCACTCAAGGATGCGAAACTGTATTAGTACCTATTTCAGCCCCAGACTGGAGAGTAGTAAGCAAGCAAGCTTCCCACCTCGGGCAGGCCAAATCTCCCTTCTACAGTCGCCAGTACTTATCACAATTGTGATTTGACATTTATTAGAATGCCTTTGATTCGTGTCCGTATCTCCCAAGACTGTAAGCTCCGCCAGGGCGCGAACTACTATGTCTACTTTCACACTCTCAATTATTAAATGAGAGAAATGTGGAAACGTCACTACCGTTTTAGGGGGACCTAATTAGCAACGCATGACCAGGATACCGAAGTCCTGAAGGGATCCTGGTGATGGCCAAATGTGTCATTCCGCGAGTACCCCTAGGCAAACTTGATTTTCATTTACGGTGTGAAAAACCCTTAATTTGGGTGCTTCAGAATTGGGAGGATGGCACGACTTGGGCCTTGGAGACCCTTGAAGTCATTTGACCCTTTTTCCAGTGTCCCAAGACCAAAACTCTCCGGTTAGATGTCTCTTGGGTCCCTCTGACCCATCTGCCCCCGAAAGGACTGAAGGAAGTATAGACTATAACCGCAGGGGGGGGGCCATCCCCAGGGGCTCCCGGGCTCCCCACAACCCCCAGGCTCCGCAGACCCCAGCTCGGGCCTAGCTTCTGCTCCGCACACTCGCAGCTCGCGGGGCGCTAGCTGGCAGAGCGAGCTCCGCTCCGCGCCGGCGCGATCCGGCCCGGGTTTCCGCGCCTGCCCCGCGTCGCGGCCTCCCCGCCCCCTGCGCTGCCGCCGCCGC